GAGCCCAAGCATGCTTTCAGTTCCACAGAGTGGGAACAGGCTGTTACTACAGGATCTCCCTCCACAGTGCTGCAAGTCAGAACTGCCTTCCGATTCTGTTGCCACAATCTTGCTCAGGGGGTTTTACTTGAGCCAATTTTGCCCAGGGGCCCAGGGATCAGCAATGCCATGTACACCTAGTAGGTGGAGGCCAGGAATGCTGCCAGATGTCCTACGATGCACAGGACAGCCCTCCTAACATAGAATGATGGCTCCAAAGCATCAGTAGCGTGCAGGCTGGGAAACCCTGCCCTAGTTCAAGCTTTCTTCCCCTCTCTAAGCAATATTGCAATCACTCCCAAGTGGTCTCCAATCCACCCACTCTGAAACACAAGTGTGTACACATGGTCTCCATCATGCAATTGCCCTACTCACTGCTGTCAAATTATTCTTCCTAAAGCCAAGCTTCATTCAGCCAGTTGGAAAATCTTCAACTCCCTGATACTTCAAAACTGGAATCCAGAATCTCTCAACAAGCTGATTCTTCCCTCAGTATTTTACCAGCCTTCTCTCCTGCTACTCTCAACTGTAGAGAACATTCAGCCCTCAGTATTTTACCAGCCTTCTCTCCTGCTACTCTCAACTGTAGAGACCATTCAGCTGGCCAAATGAGACTGTTTGCTATTCTGTGGGGATGCCCTTCACCTGGAGCCACAGACAACCATGTAGATGCTTCTTCCCAATCTGCACCTTCTGAGCTCCTCCCACGTGGGAATGCCGGGAGGCTCAGATCCATCTCCTCTGTACTGAAGTACAGAGCGGCCGTCTACGGCCTCCAGGCTAGACAGCCCTTCAGCTGAAGCACAGTAGTCAAGAATTGTGTTATTCTGCATTCTACCTAGAGTTCACTGACTCAAACTAAAATTAAAAAAAGTCTTTGCCCTGATATGTGTACAGAAATGAGACAAATCCAAGTGACAAAAGAAAAACAAATGCTTATCAAACTACCTATAGCATCAGAGAGCGCTGCTTCTTTAAGACATCAAGTCTTAATGTGACTGCACAGCCTGCAGAGAAGTGCAGGTGAAACCAAGATTAACACAAGGGCACAGAATGGAAAATAGTGAGCAAATGGAAGAAAACCGCACTCAGACATCCAGCAAACCTGGAAGGCGTCCGTGTGGTCTCCACCTTGCATCTACAACTGCATTCAACTGGGCAGAACCCTGTTCACCGAAGGAATAAATGCCTCTTCTTTAAAGTGAGACCTATGATGTGGGGCACTTCTGGAGAACACCAGTGGTTAAAGGAAGAAGACACCGGGATTAGGAAAAGGAGACCTAAATTCCAATCTCAACTTTGCCCCTAGCCAGCCATCACACCGTACCAAGTCACGACAGCACTCCACTTTCTATCCCTCCCAATTCTAACATTCCACCATTTCAGGCAAGACGCTGGGACTGACTGTAGTTTAGACCGGGGGAATGTGTGTGGTGGGCGGAGGGGGCCAGTGGCAGGTCGAGTGGGAATTCCCCGAATGACACTGCATCTTCTGTAACACTACCTCCAAGGACCTGGGGCAGAGGGGACGGTGAAATACCTTCAGCTGCTCCAGAGCTTTGGCAATGACCGGCTGGCTGGACGTCTGCTCCTGGCGGAGAGTCAGGAGTCCTTCGATGGATTGCTGGAAGGCTTTCCTCTGGATCGTAAGGTGGGCAGACTGCATGACAACTAGTAAGAGATTATCCACCTGGAGTAAAACCAAACACAGGTTATAAAGACACACCCATTTACTGCTTTTTCCTCCAGCTCAAGCCCAAGTCAAAAACAATGTCAGCCTCGGGGTTGACCAGGCCAGCAACCACCTGATCAGAGTTTTCACACAAAGGTGCTCCCCTAGACCAACTCAGAGCAGGAACCTCACGCCCAGATCCTCAGCACAAGGGAGGAGAGCCCCATGGCAACCCCGCCTGCAGCTCACTGGCGAGGCAGAGGCAGGTTTCAGGGGCAGGCGCCGCAGAGCGACAGGAGCGGAGCACACCACAGTGAGAAGATTTCACTATCCCAGTCATGACCCCAGAGGTCGGGCTGGAAGAGTGTTCCAACCAGCCCCACACAGTCAGCTTAAACACTCGTTATATCCACACACGACAGGCACCTGAGGATTCAAGTGCTACCGAGCTCAACACATCCAGCCTCTGGTAGCATGGGGTGGGGGAGATCAGTGACTCAAGAGATCCTAGTTCTCTCTCACTCCCATCCCCATCTATGGAACTCACGTTTCTGACATCCAAGCAGCTTGGACCAGATTTCTAGAACTGCTTTCACACTGACATTCTACCAATCTGTCCATCTGCAATGCTCAACATTACACTCTGTCAGAGCACCCAAGTTCTGTTGAGAATACAAGCTATCACTTACAGAATGCTTCATACAGAAACAAAACCCCATACACTCATAATTGCCAGTAATTCTGATGGAATTACACTAAACTTGTCTTTGCAAGATGTAACTATATAAATATTGGAAATAACATTGGAAAAATAAGTATTTGCTGGAAACATAAGCTATTTACAAGTACCCATTCAATGGTAACTGCTATCTTAGTGCAAATAGTTAATCTATGTCCAATCAAACCTGTGAAGTTCCAAAAAGTATTTTCTCGCCATTGACCACACTACAGTCACCGAACGTGCTCTACACAGCTGGACCCTAACAATGCCTGCTGTGCCTGAGCCCACTGCTGCAGCCACTGTCGAGCCATCTCGCTGACGGCCTTCCCCTTTCTCGCTGCTCCGCTACTCTACCAAGCATGACTATGATGCTTGCAGGTGTTTCTTCCCATTTTGAGTCATACCCTATCAGTAAATGAAGGTCCCAAAGCTTTACTCCATCCACCTCATTCATCCATGCTAGTTTATTCAGTGATTTTGACTGCATGAATGTCTTTACAATCTTGAGTTAGTCTTATTACTGAGACAAAACCATGGGAGTTTATTATAAAGCCAAAATCGTAGAATCACCACCATATCCATACACCGTTTTCCCAGTTGCCATCCACTTAATTCCGACTCGTGGTGACCCCGTGCCTGTCAGAGAACTGTGCTCCACGGCGTTTTCTGAGGCTATTTTCAGAAGCGGACAGCCAGGGCTTTCTTCCAAAGCACTGGCGGGTAGACTCAGACCTCCATCCCTTCAGTTAGCAGCCGATGGGTTGACCATCCGCACCATCACTTTACACTGCCATTGTTAGGTGCCAGCTAGGTACCGCCGACTCACAGCGACCCCACATAGAGCAGAACGAAGCACTGCCGGTTCTGGGCCACCTCACCATCCGTGCTGTGCTTGAGCCCACCGCTGCAACCACTGTGTTCATTCATCTCATGGAGGCCCTTCCTCTTTTTCACTGACCCTCTACTCTACCAGTCATGATATACTGTTTGCAGCTGTTTCTCCCATTCTGAGTCATGCTTTACTCCATCCACCTCATTAAGATCAACTTGACTTTGAAGAGGCAGCTTTTCACTATTCATATTTTGAGTGCCTTCCCACATGAGGGACTCATCTTCGGGCACCGTATCAGGCAATGTGTCAGGGCTATTCATAAAGTTTTCCGATAATATAACAGACAGTGTTTTACTGCTTTTATAAGGTTTTCAGTGGCCAATTTTCTTCAGAAGTGGCCAACCCCACGCTTCTTCCCAGTCTGTCTTAGTCTGGAAGCTCTGCAGAAACCTATCCACCATGGGTGACGCTGCTAATATTTGAAACACCAGTGGCATAGCCGCCAGACTCACAGCAAGACTCAAGTAACCACGGTATGACAAACTGATGAGTGGTGGACATATAACACCATATAAGCATAATTTCTATAAATATTATAGGGATACACAGATACACATATTTTAAAGAATTCTATAATTTTATCTTTCATACATATACTGCCAAAAACCCAAAAGACAAACCCACTGCCTAAAATCAAAATACCAAACCCATTGCTATTGATTCCGATTCACAGCGATCCTTTAAGACAGAGTAGAACTGTCCCATAGGGTTTGCAAGGCTGTAAATCTTTTACAAAAGCACACTGCCTCATCTTTCTCCTGAAGAACAGCTCATGGGTTCGAACCGCTGACTTTTTGTTGACCACTGTGAGAGTTGGAGCTTTGTGTCAACATGGCTAGACCAATGGTTTAAGCAACTGTGATGTGGGTTGTTCCAAAGATGGGATCAGATGTGTATGTTTTGAGCAGCCAATCCATTGAAAGGGAGTTTCCCTGCTTCCAGTGTATCTATGCACATCCTAGGAAAAGAGACACTTTTCTGTGGATTGGGATTCTGTTGTGCTGCCTACAACTGTCTGTGAGTGAACAATCCACCATTTAGCCTGGAGATCTTGGATTCGTCATTCATTGGAGTCAACACCCAGTATACTGCCTACCAACCTTGAGCTCCTCAGCCCCTGCAGCTGTGTGAGTCAGGAAAAGCCTTCAGGTTGACGTTTGATCCAAAAACTTTGGACTTGCCAGCTTCTATAAGTGTGTGAGTCATTATGTTAAGATAAATTTCTCTTTCTCTCTTTATATAAGCTTTACTGGTTTTGTTTCTCTGGAGAAAGAAAACCCACTCTAACACATTTGGTACCGGGAGTGGTTCTAGAAAGACAAAATCCTAAGGATGGGCTTCCTAAATTTAATTAATCCAAAAGGCACCGATGACCCTGCCTCCACTAGTAAAGAGGGCCCTGCTAATCCATGGCATGAGGTGGCAACACTAATATGCAAAATAGCACAACCAATAGATCAAGTACTTTTGAGAAGTGAGGCTCTGGGTGATCACATATTTGATACTTTTCTGCAATCAGCATGAGGAGAATAAGGAAGCTGGTTGGTTGGTCCTACTAGACAAAGTGGTTAAAGAGCGAGATGAGCTCAGGGCTGCTGAGTCACGGCTTAAGCGCCTCATAAAAGACCTCAATGTTTCCAGTTATGCTCTGAAAGAAAGCCTTATTTCTTCTAGCAACAGAGCTGATATTGCCAAAAAAACCAAACCCAGAGTCTTATTGAAAGGGTGGCTGAATTACAACACCAATTAAATTACCAACCCAGAATGGTGTCTGAAGTTAAAGCAAAGGCATTGATTGGGAAAAAATGGGATCCTGAAACCTGGAATGGGGACATAGGGGCAGACAGCCAGGAAGATCAAGATATGGAGCCTGTAAATTCTGTTGAATCCCTCCCATCTGAAGGGACTGCTGTAAAACCATTATCCCCTCCTTCCTCAGTTAGATGAGATTAACCCAGCTGTCCCTGCTGGGTCACTGCCTGAGGCAGAGGCCATGGAAGACATTGCCGAATGTTCGCAGGAACTGCCCCGACCACCCATTACGGCTGCTAGACCTATAACTAAAGTTAAGTCCAAGTGAGCCCCAAAAGGTGAAACAGAAAATGTGACTGAGGAGGTGGTACACTACACCTGAAAAGACCTACTTGATTTTGCTAACATATACAGACAGAAAGCTAGAGAATATGTATGGGAATGGCTACTGAGGGTGTGGGATAATGGTGCAAGGAATGTAACATTGGATCAGTCTGAGTTTATTGATTTAGGCCCACTAAGTATGGATTCTTCATTCAATGTTTCAGCTCAAGAGGTTAGGAAAGAATCTAATAGTTTATTTGGTTGGCTTACTGAAGCATGGATTATGCAATGGCCTACCTTGAGTCAAGTTTAAGTACCAGACCTTGGTGTAGTGCAGAAGAATGTATCCAGAAGCTTAGGGAAATTGGCCTGTTAGAATGGATTTATCAGATTAGACCCCAGAGCCAGAAATGGAGAGTCCAGAAGACACTCCTTTCACCCGTACCATGAGGAATAAATTTGTGAAGGGAGCTCCAGCATCCTTGAAGACTGCTATGATCGCTATTTTATGTAAGCCAGATTTGACAGTGGGAACTGCCCTAATTGAACTAAGACACTTAACTACGATGGGGCTGATTGGACCCCGTGGTAGTAGGGGCCAAGTGGCAGCAGTTAATAGGCAAAGCGAGGTGGGCATGGTTACCATCATGGAAAGCAGAGTCGAAACAGTAATCAGAATAGTCTGACTCATGTGGAATTATGGCATTGGCTACTTAATCATGGTGTTTCTGGTAGTGAATACATGGCAAACCTACTAAGTATTTACTTGATCTGTATAGACAGAAGAATTCTAGATCACGTGAACAGCAGCCTAGATTAAACTGCCAGGATACAGAGTCACGGCTGCTCAATTACCAGACTTGAATCAGTTTACAGACCCACAACCTCTTAAATGAAGGGGAGGCTGGGTCCCGTAAAGGAAGAACCCCACTACATTGCCAAAAATTTATAAAGTTAATCTTTCTCCCAGCCTTCCCCAAAGGGATCTGAGGCCTTTTACAAGAGTTACTGTTCATTGGGGAAAAGGAAATAATCAGACTTTTCGAGAATTACTGGACACTGGCTCTGAACTGACACTAATTCCAAGAGACTCAAAGTGTCATTGTGGCCCACCAGTCAGAGTGGGGGCATATGGAGGTTAAGTTATTGATGGAGTCTTAGCTAAGGTGTGTCTGACAGTGGACCCCCGAACCCATCCTGTAGTGATTTCCCCAGTTTCAGAATGAATAATTGGAACAGATATACTGAGCAATTGGCTGAATTCCCACACTGGGTCCCTGACATGTGGAGTAAGGGCTAGTATGGTAGGAAAAGCCAAGTGGAAGCCAG